ATCCTGTGTTAAGCCCATATAAATATCAATACCCTGTTCCTTCTCTTAGTCTTACTCTCTCCTACTCTCCCCTCCCCTCCCCTCTCCTCCCTCTTCCCCCCTCTCCTCTCTCCCCCCTCCTCTCCTCTCTCTCCCTTCCCCCTCTCCTCCCTTCTCCTCTGTGACTGGCCACTATGGTCCTGCTAATAAAATCTCGGACAGGTAAACAGTTGTTTTGGCTTGTTGAGTTTACGGAGCTTTTCCATCGTCCTTTACATTAACTGTTCTCAATATATGGTAAAACACTTCATCATACATTGTTCTTTTCTTTAACAAAGTGTTGCCAAAAGCTTGGTCCTTATCCCCCATGCCAATCCAATAACAAGGACACAGTTTTGAGAAAAAGGAAAAAGAAGTCTTATTGCTTTGCTAGCAAAGGAGAAGCAAAGGGAATGCCTGTCCCAAAGGCTGTTTCTGCCCATCAGCAGGAACAGGGGGCTTTTAAAGGCTACATTTCACATATTCACTGTCCGGTGTTGTAATTCACTAGTTACTTTGGGAGATATTCTGGTACCATCCCCAAAGTCTATTGTAGGTGTGTGTTCAGGGACAGATAACTGCCTAAAATGGGGAAGAAAGGTAATACTATTTTCCCTGAGATTAGGGATAGGGAGAGATTAAGGAGGAGCAGGGCATTTTAAAAATAAATTGCAGTGGCAGAGCAGCAAGTATTACATTCAAAGCATAGTGGACCATTGTTACAAAAGTGTTTAGGTTATTCTTTACCCTTTCCATTTTCATATTTCCAGTTTAAATCCAGTTGCTAAATTTCTGCCTTAACATATACACACACACCTTACATTCAAATAAAACCTATAGTTTTTTTATTGATCCTCCCTCTATATTTTTAAAGAATTCATATCTTCATAGATATTGAATCTCCAATTATTAAAAGTATCTTTAAATTCACTCAATAATTCTTCATATATGCTTATGTTATGCTCGAATTTGGGACCCCCAAAAGACCACCAGAGACCAAGATCCATGTAAGCAGCAAAGAGGTGTTTAATGCGAGCTAGCTCGGTCCTCCGCACGCGCACACAGCAACTGGTGACGCTGAGAGACCCAAGCCCAGGGTTTGCAGCAGTTTTATACACTCTTTGGGGAAGGCAGGGACTTCACATACATCATAACATCTCTTAGCAAATTATCACACACCGCGGGAAAATCATAAAACAACTCTAAAACATGATTAGCACATTCACTGGCAGGAACAAGTTGGGTAAGGGTGATTGGTTAGTACAAGAGGGGGATTTGTTTGAACTGACTGGTTTAAGCCACGAAGGGTGTACATGCTGAACTACATGGTTTCCCAACATGTTATCAACCACCATAAACTACTGGGAGGGTTATCTGGCATCCCAGGTATTTTCCCTGTCTCATGCTGATTGGTGGCTGCTAGGGGGTTGCTATAGGTCCTCATCTAGCCTGAGTCAGGGACACCTGGTGCTACAGATCTCTTCTGTTATTTGTAGATAAACAACTCATCAGGGTGGGTATGTGCCTTGGAGTGCTCTGTGGGTCTTTCCAAGGACAAGGGTCACGCCCGCTTCCTTGGACAGGCTTTGCTCTGAGGTAGAGGCTGGTTTTTCAGTTCCTTATAAGATATTTGTCATTTATATGCTTTTATTGGTCTTTCCATAGGCATGCCTTTTCTATTTTCTCCTATGAATAAATTCTGTCAATTAGGGCTGAAATCAAACTTCATTCCTCTTCTCTTCCTTTCCTTTACCTTCATTTCTTCAGTAAGGAGTAATCTTACTTTCCTCCTTTCCTTCTTTTCTTGCTCTGCTAGGGATAGAATCCAGAGTCTTGAGTATGCTAGGAAAGTGTTCTATTACTAAGCAACACCGTCAACCCTCAAAGTAATTTTTCTTTTCTGTGACCTCATGACAGCACATTACTTCTCCATAAAACCCTACTTGTTTTCCTTTTATGCTTATATCTCATTTTCATCACTAGAATATGAATATTAGTAATGTCTGTATTTCTCCTAGTAGTGTGTGTGTGTGTGTGTGTGTATGTATGTATGGTGCTGGGGATTGAATCCAAGACCCACTGAGGGACATTCCCAGCCTTCTCTTATAAGGGTCTTGACCAATAAATACACAACATGTGCTGAACAGGGATAGAATTCCTTGTGTACCATATTTTCCCCATACCTGCCATTAGGTGGCAATGCATAAACTTTGTAGTACAAAGAAAACCCAGGGCTCCACAAATGCAAGGCAGGAGGAGATCTACCAGTAAGCTACACCTCCAGTCAGGCTTTAAAAATTAAAATAGAGCCAATCTAGCATAAAGATTAGTTTTTGAGCTGAACATATTTGAAAATCAAAAAATGAGGAAGAGGCTTTCTCTAAACTCCTCTTATCTGGCACACACCTGTAACCCCAATAGCTTGGGAGGCTGAGGCAAGAGAATCACAAGTTCAGTTTCAGCAACTTAACGGGGCCCTTAGCAATTTAGTGAGATCCTGTCTCAAAAACAAAACAACAACAACAAAAATAAATAAATAAAAGGAAAAAAAAAAAAAAAAGAGGAGGGTTGGGGAGGTAGTTCAGTGGTTAAGCACCCCTGGGTTCAATCCCTACTACCACCAAAAAGAAAAAATAAATAAATAGGATTCTTGGTCTCTGGTTTACTATGAATTTACCAAGCAAGTGTTCAAACTTATCCTACTTTATGTTCTGCTTTCAAAGACTCTTGATTTCAAATGCTATAATATAGTAATAAGGGTAAACAAAGGAGTATATTCATTGCTTCTATATGAAACTTCTCTTTCTGTATTGACCTCTTTGGTGTGCACACTGATATTGGTAGAGAAAGACTTGCATCAAGGATCTGAACCTAAGTCTATGCAGTCAGCCAGCTAGCATTGATAAATTATTGTCAGGACAAATTTGTGATGATCTTAATCAATAGTATTATCTACTATATGTATAGTTATTGCAAAATTAATATTTGAAAGGTTAATTAAGCAAAGGACAATGGAACTTTATTAGTTTTTATGTTTCTTGAAGAATAAGAGCATGAAATGTTTCAGACTTCACCAAAGTATTTTTAAATGTCTTTAGTTGTTGATGAACTTTTATTTTATTCATTTATTTATACATGGTGCTGAGAATCAAACCCAGTACCTCACACATGCTAGGCAAGTGCTCTACCAATGGGTCACAACCCCAGTTCCCTCACCAAAGTATACTTTGAACAGAATCTAGCATGAAAAAAAGCTTCCACGTTTCCCAAGAAACCTTTCATTATTATGATTCTTTAATGTTTCCTGGAAAAATCCCTGTTTTTGAATTATACTAAATAGTACAACTGACTCATAGAATGATTAGGATGATTTTTTGTTGTCTTCTTAATGAATGCTAGGTTTTTTGTAAGGAGAATAGGGTGAGTCAATTGGAACTATCTATACATAAATATATATAATAATATGAAGGTCTAAAGGGATATTGGTGAGAGCTCTATAGTGAAATACCAGAACTTCTCTTTAGAAAATGATAGCTTTTATTTTGATAAAAAAGTGATTCCTGTTTGACAGACCTCATTAATTATAAATTTTGCCCTAGATTTATCTCTTTTGAGCATAGTTTACAGGATATTTTGATAATAAATCAAGATTGGCTAGTTTTTTTTGGGGGGGGCTGAGGATTTTCTGTTAACTTTCTCTATGAGATTACCTATATAAAAAGATCCTATCATATTGCTTTTTTAAACTATACATCTTCAAATATTATTGGCAATTTTCAATTCAGCAGAATGTTGAGACTATAATAACAATATACTATGACAATAACTTGTTTTCATTTGGTCTCTGATATCTAAAGTTCTTGCTCACTATCCTATAATGGTCCACCTCAACTGCTCTTTTCCTTAGCATAAACATTGATTTGGAAAGCACGTTGGGTATCAAACGTGGGAGCCAGGGAGTTTCCGAACTAAACAGTGATTAAAGGATTTCAGCAAAGTTCTTTCCGCAAAATCTGTTTTCATACTAAATTACTCAAACCAGGTCCTCTTCCTTGTTGCATCCTCTTTGCAACGCCCTTCCCACTCTTCTCAAAACTGGATAACTCTTACTCATCTTTAAGATTCAGCTCAAATGTCATCCCAGGTGCAGGCTTTCTCAACATGGCAGGTGGTGCTAGCGGGTTATTACTTCTCAGCTCAGCTACCCTGGCTCACTGGGAGCAGCTCAGCCTTTAGCACAGCCGAATGGGATTACCTATTCTGCGGGTCTCGCCCCCAGGATGTGCGCTTCTAGGGTGAAGACCACGTTTTGTTAATTCTCAACCTTTTATAGTCTAAAGTTGGGCTCAGTGATGCCGGACGACTGAAGCCCTATTACTTGGCGACTTCTGCCTACAAGAAGCATACTTACTCGCAGCGTTCCCATAGTTTCAGCCGGCACACCGGTTCCCGCCAACTAAGCATTTAAAAACAAGCAGCCGCGGACACTAGGAATAGAGGGTACCCGTCACAACGAGTGCCTGTTCATCAGCCCCAATGGGCCACGTTTGCTTGCTGCTCCGACAAGGGCGATTCTGGAGTTTGCTCAGTTAGGGCGACGCTTTCTTTGAACAAACTGAGCCCCAGAGGCGTTCTCTAACTCTGGCCTGGAGACGCTGTCCGCTTTTTCTAACGGTGACATGCAGTCAAGGGGAAAATGTGGATTCAAAGGTCTGGGGTAACTCCTCGCGGCTGAACCCGAGCTGACGTCTGTGAAGGGTCGCACTCACTGTGTCTTTCCCCCAGCCCCGTCAGTCCCCAGGGTAAGCGTCCCGTCCGAGGCTGCAGCTCCGTCAATTGCGCTCACGCTCGGCGTCCCGCCCACCCTGGGCGGAGAGTCATTGTTCTCGCGAGATCGCGGCTAGCCTCGCCTCTTCAGATTGCGGGCTCTCGCGAGAAGCGGCTGAGGAGCCGGCCTGCAACCTGCCCGGCGGCTCTGGTAGGTGCAGCCGCCGGAGTGGCCGCCTCACAGCAAGCTCTGGAGGGATCCGGTTGAGGAGGAAGCGGAGGCGTCGCCGACCTCGGCCTTCGCCTTGATCCTCCGTGGACGCTCGACGGGGCCTACAGGTTCGGGGTGAATGGGCATAGCTGCGGAGCGCAGTGGGGGCGGCGTGGGAGGCTGGGCTTGGCGGGGGCGTAGGAGGAAAGGGGCGGAGGGCGAAATCTGGGCTGGAGAGCCGGGCTGCTGTGGCAGTGGTCTGGGTGGCCGGACACGGCGAGGGGAGCGTGGGTGGCGTTCTGGACTCGGGCCACTGGCACCCAGCTCCGAGGGGCAGAGTTGGGATTTGGGTTTCCTGGGGTGCTGCTGTTTGGTTGGCAGTCCGGAGGCCTTTCCCCCAGGGATGAAGGCTTCATCCCTCCTTCCCAGGGCAGAGTAACCCGGTGCCCCGCCCCTTTCCTGTCATCTCTGGGCTTGAGGCAGCGATATCCTGAGGAGGGCGCATCACAATAGGGTGGTGAGTTGTCCGTCTCCCTTTTAGGGGATAAGATGGTGGGCGGTCTCCCTTCAGGTGAACAAGGGTGAGACCCCAGTAATTTTTTTATGCTGTGACAGTATCGTGTATGGTAAAGCTTTGCTTTTTCAAAACTTGCATAGAAAAGGTTCTGATTCCTTCTTTCCTTCCTTCAGATGCAAGTGCCTTAACACGCCTTGTAATTGGGAATAGGGTTGAGGGAGGGAAGACCTCCCTTGGTATTTTGTTAGTGTGACTGGGCCAATGTGACCATCCCTGGACCGAACAAATTTCCCACTTCTCTTTTCTCTTATTTGGAGTCCATGATGAAAAGTCACTAGTCCAGACATGTTAGAGTTTCATTCGCTTGTTACTTTGTGCCCTTAGCAAATGAATTTATTTTATAAGTATATTTTGACTTCAGGAGTTTTCACGCTTTTTATTTAAATTAACAATCTGAATAAGGCAGCACAATGTTTATTGATTTTATTTGGACGTTGCTTCCCACTCCTGACCCGCTCACCTCTTCCCCTACCCCGACTATGCAAATATGATAAAAAATGTTTTTAGAGAAGAGTTGAGGGATAAATTTAGAATGAAAGAGACTAGAAATTGTAGTAAAAGATATGACAAAGAATGGAAAGCACAAGGGCCAAGTTTTCATATTGGAAAGCCTATCCACGACCAACTGAAAGAACGAGACTGTGGTTATCATTTGAATATAAAGCAGAAAGCAATAAAAAATACTTGGGAAAGAATTTGATGATGAATTGAAACTGGTGTTTGAGGAGTTATTTTTGAAAGTGCCAATGTGTTTCAGAAATTTTTCTAATATTTTTCAAGAGTTTATGACTTAATAGCTGCTATTGTGCATAAGGAGAGAGAAAGGAGATTCTGAAGTATGGAGTGTGGTAAGGAACATTGTTCAATCAGGAAGGCCTTCTAGTGTCTCAATAGTGTTTTTGAGTTCTTACACCATTTTTTTCCCTCATTCCCCAAAATGCTTTCAGATGGGCTTTTAACCTGCTGTATGTTATTCTTCTACCAGTTTGAATTTTGTTCTATCTCATCCTTTCTTCTAAGCTGTGTGAAAATTTTAAGTTATTAACCATGAAATTATAAACAACAGTGGTTTGCTTTGTGATTTTTTTACATTTAGGATACTTTGAAGTTTGGAAGCAAACTGGAATATATGCACTTTTCAAAAGAGATTATGGGTAACAAACTCACATGTCTTCTGGTAATAGTTATGTGATGAAAATGTGAAGTCCAATGGAGAGTTTATGCCTTTTCTAGGAGGGATGTCAAGTTTTCAGGTCCACTTGATTAGTTCTGTATGTGAATATGGGCCCAGTCTTCAGCCTTCTCAAGAGAATACAGGAAAATTCAATTTTTACATGCAGTCTCTTGATTTTTAAAAATATTGATGGCTAATTAAAACAATTGAAAATAACTGCATGTGGCCCAATCAAACCCACACTTGTGTATAGTTGTATTCTGTTCTCTAGGAGCTGTTTTATAGGTCAGAATTAATGTATTTTATAACTGAAAAAAAAGAGGTTTAAAGCAAGTAGTTCACGCTTTAAAATTTCAGTCTTTAGAAGGACTTAGGGAGGGAACATGTCAAATCTAATTGAAACCAGTAGATAGTTTTTTGTTTTTTTTCATTTTTCTTTTATTAAACCCAGGGGTAATGATGTTGGCAATCAAATGTGCCAACAAGAAGCCCTTTAGGGCTTTTTTAAGTTAAAAAAAAAAAAAGTGAAATTTCTTGACTTAAGAGAAAAAATTGTATGCTGAGGTTGCTAAGATCTACACATTTTGAGAGAGACTGTTCCTATAACTTTTATTACAGTATATTGTTATAATTTTCATGTTTTATTGTTCTCTCTCTCTCTCTTTCTTAGCCACCAAGCCACATCCCCAGCCCTTTTTATTTTTTGAGACAGGGTCTCTTTGAGTCGCTTAGGGCCTTATTAAGTTGCAGAGACTGGCTTTGAACTTGCAATTCTCCTGCCTCAATCTCCCAAACCACTGGAATTATAGGTGTGAGCCACCATGCTCAGTTTACTATTGTTCTTAATCTCTCATTGTGTTTAATTTATAAATTAAACATTATCATATTATGTATGTATAGGAAAAAATGTAGTTATATATAGGGTTTATTCTGTACTATATGTAGTTTCAGACATCCACTGGGGAACATGGAACTATACTTCGAGTCCAAGGAGGTACTACTATATTAACATTTTAACTGTAGAAATAACTGAAGGAAAGGCTGTCAGTATTTATGGCTTTTCCGGGTTCTAGCTATGCATGGTGGCACACACTTGTAATTCCAGTGATTTGGGAGGCTGAGGCAGGAAGATTATAAGTTTGAGGCTAGCCTCAGCAATTTAGCAAGGAAGGCCCCAAGCAACTTAATAAGAACCTGTCTCAAAATAAAAAGGGCTGGGGACATGGCTTAGTGGTTAAGTGCCCTTGAGTTTAATCCCCAGTGCCAAAAAGAAATAATAATAATATTTTTATTAATAATATAATTATTATTCAGAGTTCTGAGCAAAGTTTATATATAGGTATCTTGTAAGGAAATTGGTTGATTTAAAAACTCTTTTATGTACTTGCAACTAATGTTTAAATTTAAATCTTGGAGTCTTTCTATAGTCCATTTCAGAATTTGAATGTTTATTATTGGCTGTGCCATTCTATGTTGCTTTCCTAGACATTCACTTTTTAAAAAAATTTTCTAACTTATTCTTTTGTTTTTAAATATTTGCTTTTTAGTTGTAGTTGAACACAATACCTTTATTTTATTTATTTTTACGTGGTGCTGAGATTCGAACCCAGGGCCTCGCACATGCTAGGCAAGAGCTCTACCGCTGAACCACAACCCCAGCCCAAGACATTCACTTTTACTGGAAAAAATATTGATTCCCTGGCAGATGGGGAGAGGGGCGTTTTCAAATGGGATGAGGAAAGTGTGTTGTAAAGCAGGCACTCTTATGTCTCTTTCGTACCTTTCCATTGCAAGATTGATTTTGATTAATTAGTTTTTCTTATAAGAATAGGTACTTTGATTATTTTGTGCCTTACGCATTGTAGAGCTTAGTAACCTTGTGGATTAAAACTCATTTACCCATTAATGAGAAGTACTTTAATCTGATTCATACCTAGTTGGGTAGGGGGAGTGGGAGCTTTAGATGTCAGGTCTAAGTATGAGGTGGATCTTAGATATTTGGAGAGCAAAGTGAGAGTCCTCACTGGAGAGTAAGGTAAGAGAAAGCTAAGTGAGGGGACAGAGTTTTGAAAATGAAGACAAAATGGTTAAGAACCCTTTTTTTCTATTGTTCAGTTTTACAAAGAGTACTGCTTTTTACAACTAAATTTGTAATAACTTATGCAAAGACTACATGGAATTTGGTTTTTAATCAGAACTGCTTAGGGAGTTTGCAGACTTGATTTTCTTCAATTTAGTCCTGTCTTCACACATCAAGCTCCAATCTCTGTCTATCTGGAATAGAATGCGAAAGAGTAGGAGATATTTATTATGTTTGTGAGGTGTTATTGTCTGAGAGTTTTACCATTTCTGAGTTGTTGTTTTTTTTATTTGTGAAAATTGTGCTTGTTGGAGGGAGCATTGTTTTCCTTTCCCCATGTTTCTACTGTGAGTCATAAAGTAGGAAATTTTCTCTTGGAAATAGTCCTGTCCCCCTCCCCTCTATGCTCCAAAAAGCCTCTGAAATTCTTTCCCAAATGAGCATTTGAAGAAGCTAGGAGAAAGGTGCCCTCTGGTTCGTTTTGAAACTCCGAATTTTTAGGATTTACATTTTCTGTTCATGTGTATGGTAGGTTCATCTGAGCAGAGTGGACCTCTGTGAGGGAGGAGGAAATGGAATACCTATGATTCTGAGTAAATTTAATTTATAGTTGAAGGAATAAGAAACTTTTTTGGCCATTAATTTCATATATATATATTTTATCTAACTTCTTTATTTAGTTTCTTTGGTCCTGAACTAAAACTTAGGGGTGGGAGGGAGAGGTAGTTGCAGATGTTTATTAATAGAGGAAGAATTGCAGTTGAGCATCCCTAATTTGAAAATCCAGAGTCCTACATCTCCAAAATCTGAATGCTTTGAGCAGTAACGTGATGCCACAAGTCTGATTGTTAAATGTAAACAGAAATATTAAATATTGCATGAAATATTAAAATATTGTATAAAATTACCTTCAGCCCATATATAAGGTGTTTATGTATTTTGTGTTTAGACTTGGATAGTCCCAAGATATTGCATATTATGTGTGTGTGTGTGTGTGTTTGTGTATATATGTGTATGTATGTATGTATGTATGTACGTACGTACACACCCACACACACACACACACACAGATTCCAAAATTAGCCCCCTTCCCCCCCCCCAATTTAAAATCTCTATCAATTCTGGTTGCAAGCATTTCCGGGAAATTCTATATTAGAATTTTTTTTTAATCTCTTTATTAAAATCTTTACTAGGGTTCAGGCTACAAGTACAGGATTCATTTCCCTTAATATGGCCTACTCAGGTTTGTTTGGGGATCCTTGAAACTGACACACCTACCTTACTAAGAAGATAGTAAAGAAGAACTTAGAGATGGAAGGTGAACAATTAGAATTCAAAGAGATGCTCACTGGGAGAGGATGAAGAGGTTGATAAATGTTAAATATAGGGAATGGGAATATAATAAATTGAGTACAATTTTCACAGCATTTTGTACTTCAGATTTTTGGATTATGGATGCTTAACAGAGTCAGTACAAATATTTCAAAATCTGAAAAACTCAAATCTGAAACATATCTGTTTGCAAGCATTTTGGATAAAAGATATTTAGCCTGTACTTGAAATAGAACATAAAGAGGAAGGATTTTACACTAAATATGAAACCTTATGTCATAGATTGCTGGGTTGTAAGGTATCTTTGCTGATAAAAATATCTTTCTTCACCTGATTAGTAGTTTAATTATATTA